AGCAGCAGCAGCAAGAGGAGCAGGATGACGAGAAGGACAAGGAGGCGGAGGACATGGTGGCAGGCGGTCTGGCATAATCGACGGACCATCTCCCCTTGGGCGGGACATGCTTTTCGAAACATGGGCCTCAGACAAATCATGGACGAACCTCAACTCAAGACCAAGGCCCCAAGTCTCTAAACCCCTAATCCGAAACTCCCTAACCCTTAAGCCTAAGTCCAGGTCTAACTTCCTAGGCCTTCTACTGCCAACTCTTGTGACCCTGACTCCTTTAACCGGAAAGCACTACATTCCCCCAAACAGGACCTGTCCCCTACACCCTGACCCTAAACCCTAAACCCAAAACCCCTTGGCCCGAAACTCCCCGGCCTGTGATGATACCCAACATGACGGCCCAACACTTCCTGGAAGAATCAGGTCGGCTTGAGGTTTTTCTTCTTTTAAGAGCTTGAGGGTTTAGGGTTTAGGGTTTCGGGTTTAGGGCTTTTCGGGCTGGGGGGTTTCAGCGTGCTCTCGCGTTTTTAAGGTTCTGGGGCGACTTTGAGGGTTTGGTGCTTCGCGCTCCAGGACGCCGGGGCCTCGGTTTCACCCTGCACCTTGGAGCTTCTGGAAGAAAGGGACGGCGAGCCCCTAGACAGCACAACCTCCATCCTGCGCCAAGGCAGCACGACGAGTCTCTTTGCAGAGATAATGGGAGCGTCACGACGAGACAGCTCCGAGTAGACGGTTCAGAAGTCTCTGCATGCACAGCGTCGCAGTCAGCTGCATTTCTCGATGATCGAACGAAATCAACAAACAAACCGAGGCAAAAGTCCAGAACAGCAAGTATCTATCCAACCTACACACAAATCCTGAACCCTGAAACCTCCAAAACAAAAACCTCTAGGACTCTAAGGGCCAGGCAGATTTAACACCATGCGGACGATGTCCGTCTGCCCTCGATTTCCTGAACCAAACCATGCTGGGCTGGGTTTCGGGTTGAAGGCTCTTCCTTTTCTGAATGCTGCATCTACGACATCACCGGGGACTAAGGGGGAGCACAAGATCCAGGGGTTGAGGGGATGGGGCTTCGGGGCTTCGGGGGGTAGGCTTTCTGTGCTTGGAGCTGAGTATTAACAGGTTTGCAGCGGAATGCTTCCTTCAAGGGCTTAACAAAAAGGGACCGAAATAATGACCAATACTATTTTGGGGGGCTCCTTATTATAATTTATAGTATAGAATGGGCCACCCAAAAAAGAAACCTTTTCGACTTCTTGGGGCCCCTAAGCCCTAAACCCCTATAGTAGCCCTTATAAAACCCTTTAAGGAACCCTTAAAAGGAACCCCAAAACCCTCTTCTAATCATTAAGGGCCCTAATATAAAGCCCTATAATAAATCTCTTATACAGCCCTTTAAGGAACCCTTAAAAGGAACCCCAAAACCCTCTTCTAATCATTAAGGGCCCTAATATAAAGCCCTATAATAAATCTCTTATACAGCCCTTTGAGGAACCCTTAAAAGGAACCCCAAAACCCTCTTCTAATTATTAAGTCCCCTAATATAGAGCCCGCTTATTATAACTATAGTAGTATAATGGGCCCCAAAAAACCCTTTCTACTTACAAAAGCCCCCATCTTACGTGCCCTCTAAAGGAACCCTATTCTACTTCTTAAGGCCCCTGTCTCTTGCGTGAAACCCTAAACCCGAAACCCTGAACCCGAAACCCTAAACCCTGAACCCTAAACCCTAAACCCTATACCCTAAACCCTAAACCCTATATCTTACATGCGTCTGGCCTGCATGCTTGAAAAGCCCGCAGACCCAGGCCAAGACCACCTGAAGGAGAAGATACCAACCTCGGCTCAAGGAGGCGCCTCTTTTAGGGTAGGTTTTTTTGTTTAAAGCCTTTTTTTTTAGGGTAGGGTTTAGGGTTTAGGGTTTAGGGTTTAGGGTTTAGGCTTCGTAGCGCCTTTTGGGGTTTAGGTTTGAGGGTTTAGGGCTTTATTTTTATTTGAGGGTTTAGGAGTTTATTTTTATTTGAGGGTTTAGGGCTTATTTTTATTTGAAGGTTTAGGGCTTATTTTTTTGAAGCATCCTTTTCCTCCTCCTGTCGGCCAGGATTTAAGGTTGAGGGTTTAGGGCTGTTTCTTGGTTTTAAGCATCCTTTTACCTCCTGCTGTCAGCTAGGGTTTAGGGTTTAGGGTTTATTTACGGTGTAGGGTTTAGGGGTTTTTAAGCAGGGAACATGGGTGTAAGGTTTTGATCAGCGAATAAGGGTGCCGAGATGTTGGCCCAGGGTTTAGTGCTTCCATTTTGGTAGCTGGTGTTCTGAAAAGCAAAATTTGCTCAGTCATTTCTCGGGGTCAGAGTGTATCCAGAGGGTCTGAGGTCAAGGGCCTGTGTTAGGGTTTAGATAGACTTTTTGGTTGAGGCCTGCATGTCGTTAAGACGTTTCATAACCATAGCGGTAACCTGGTACTGTAGGCATCCTCACTATCAGGCGCAGCGATGACGATCGGCTGTCCCGCTGTCTCACCCTGAAATGAAAATCAAGGCCACAGCAACAGTCATAAGAATCACAACAACAGCAGCAATAGTCGCAGCAAGCCAGTGCATTCCAGACTTGAGATGCCGTGCCGTCATTAGGGCTTATGGAAGCCGCTCCGACTGTGGAAGGTAGGACTTTCTGAGACGCACGCAGGATGTGGCAAGTGTGCAGGGGCTTACTGTAGGGTTCCGTCACAGGGTCTGGAGTTTGGGGTCTAGGGTCTGGGATAGGGCTTAGGCTTAGGGTTGACGCTGTAGGCTTGAGGGTTTGGACTTCATTGACTTCAGGGCTTCGGAAGCCGCAAAGAGAAAATCCCCTGAGGCGCCGGCCGACGGAAAGCAGGCCTGGGGGTTTCCGGCTTCGGACAGTTGATTTAGGGACTTTGTGGCTTGAGGGTTGTAGGTTTGTAGATTCAGGGGTGGTTTCGGGCTTCGGAAAATTTAGGGACTTTGCGGCTTGGAGGGTGCAATGGCTCTTGGGGCCTGGGGTTTTGGGGTCTTGGGCTTTGGCGCTGCTTTTTCTGCGCATGAGATGGGCAGCGTTGCAGGACTGCTTGCGGTAGTTGCGTCAACTCAGCCCCGAACCCTGAACCCGAAACTCTCAACCAGACATCCTCAATCCAGCGCATGATGTAGGAGCCTCAACGATTAGAAGAGGGTTTTGGGGCCCATTCTACTATAATTATAATAAGGAGCCCCAAAGCAGTATTGGTACTTATTTAGGCCCTACATTAAGCCCCAAACCGGTTGGTGCTCTGTGGATGCTTTAACCATTTCCCGACATCCCCAACCTGGTAAACTTCTAAAGTCACGTCTCCTACCCGGCCCACTCTTAATGCTACTGCTACGACGACGACGACGACGACGACGACGACGACGACCAAAACTATAAGTGCTACCACTCCTGCTGCTACTACTGCTACTACTGCTACTACTGCCACTGCTACTACTGCTGCTACTACTACTACTACCACCACCACAACTACTACTACTCGGGAAAAGTTGCGAAAGACATTATCTGATCCGATCAAGCGGTAATCTCTAGTTTATAACTTATTTATCATACATCTCCAATAATAGTTTAGCGAACCGAGAGCTTAAAACCTTGCCCCAAAACGACTCAGCCTACAACCCTCGGCACGGCAGGCTAGGAAGCGCAGATCGACCCTACACCCTCATCTTCGCCTTCCGGTTTCCCCCCAAGCAATCCCTCCTTTCTTGCGGACAAGGAGCCGCCGGCGATAATCTTGCCTTAATGGGTAGTTGTCAAAATTATGGTCCCTTTTGGGGTACCCTAAATAATAGGTGCCGTATTATAATAAGGACCCCAAAAGGGACCCTAATTTTGACAACCACCCTAATGCTGAACCGTGAATTCTGTTACAACCTTTTCTTAACCCTAGACTTCGCGTCGAGCTGAGGCCTACAGGCATGAACATGCAAATGTCAGAACTGAACTTGGTTCGGAAGACTGTGCAGTCGTGATCCTAACATGTCCTAACGACACGAGGCTTTGCGGGGCAGACAGGCGGTGGGCCGCTCGGGACCCGTAGACGAGCCACGCACAACAGGAACAGTGCGACCTTAAGACCCCGGAACACCCCGCAGTGCGATCTTGAGTTTAAGGAAATCTATGAAGAGCTTACACATGGGTAGTTTTCTAAATTAG